AAAGAGGGCCTAGGCCCTCCCCCAAATGATGTGACAAACTTTGATGATCGCCGTGGAAGGCCTCACTATCCTTGGGGAGTGGATGCGGGGGTCAGTGGGGAAGCATGGGAGGGCGAGGGAATGTGGGGATTGATATGTAAAATAAGACTATTTGTAAAATTAAAAAATCAAAAAAGGAAAAAAAAACACTCATCTTTAAGTAAAACAAAATCATGAACTTTGCAATAAATAGACAGAACTAGAAAAGATCATATTAAAGGGGGGAGGAACCTAGGCGCAGAAAGACAGATGTCGTATTTTGTCTCTCATCAAAGGTTCATAGCTCTAAATCCTCAAATATTTGCATGTAACCTGGAGTGACTGTAGAGACTAGGAAAACAGAAAGAAACCATTGCTGTGTGGGGTTGTGGAGAGCAATAAATTGGAGAAAAGTAGGGGACAGAGCAGCATCGGAAGGGTGAATTGGAAAAACAAGTAGGTATAATTAGAGAGGAAGAGGATAAATAGCGAAGGAGGGAGAAAGATAAAACATTAAAGGTGTCTGGAAAGCTCAAAAGAAATTGTGCTGTTAAGTATCACCTTAAAATAACTATAACACACCTAAGTGCTAGGCCAAGTTCAGGGAGACCCCAAAAGAGACCACCAAGGAGCCAACTCAGATGCAAATGCATAAGGTTTAATGTTACAAGCCTCGGCAGGGACCCTGTCCAGCAAACTGACTCAGCAGATGCAGGAAAAAGGGTCCCTGGCTTCAGTTGTGAGGGGTTTTAAAGGAAAAAGCTTCAAGCAGGGTGGTGCATGCCTTGGCTGTTCAGGATTGGGTAAGAGTAGGTGACCTTTGGATTCACAGACGTGGGGGCTATGGGAAATTTCAAAACTGTTGCTAACTGTCCTTGTGATGAGAAGATGTTATTTATCAAAATTAGCCACTGCCTGACCACCCGGATGGGTTCATTTTGACCGGGATGGGCACAGTTTGGGTGCTCCTTGGAACTGTTTATGGTTCCTTGGCTGGAACTGAATCAGCCTTGTGCCATGCAGGGAATTTCTCAGGGTGGCTTTTTCTGAGGATGCAGTTAACTCCATCCTCTCCAGTTTACCTTGCTCTTACAATAAGTTAGTGTATAAACATAAAGTTTAAATAAAAAAATTCCAGTCTGGCCTGACAACTTCTTCCAAGAGCCCAGAGAGTCTAACAAAATCCCCAATACCTAGTTGAGAAGCCATCTTTTGGAGTTGTTGATCAGAGTGCTCCAAAAGACTCCAAAGTGTGTACAGGCTATTGCTGTTGCTGTTGCTGTTGCTTTGGCTGCCCCCCCAGAGGTAAAAAGAAGCCAATGCTTCAAGCAGGTGCTTCTCTAGAGGCTGAGTTCTTGAAGTTGTTTATGTATTCCAGAATATTAATCTTCTGTTTTAGATTTGCTGTCAAAATATTCTCCCATTCTGTATGCAGTGTCTTCAGTCTGTTGATTGTTTTCTCGGTGGTGAGGAAACTCATTATTTTTTTTTACACTCAATTGTGGCCTTTCCTGGAACAATATCCTATGTTTCCATCTCTTTCAGACAGTTCTACTCTTCTTGATCTTGACATGTTTCCTTGTATCGTCCTGAGGTAGTTTCAAAGTCTTGACTATTACATTAGTGTCTTTGATCCTGACTATGCACTGAGAATATGTGTCTGCTGAACTAGTCTTTGTCATCTCCACAGAGATATCCAATCCCCCCAGCGCCAATTGTTGAAGAAGTTGTCAGTTGTTAATACATGTTTTTTTGACATTATCAAGTATTAGGAGACTTAGGTTGTATATATTTATTTCTGAGTCTTGAATTCCATTCCATAGATTTGCATGACATTCACTATATGCTGATTTTGCCATTGTGACTATATAATGTAACGTGATATTACTTATTGTGATACTTTACCATTATTTTGTCTAGCACTTTTTGGACCAATGCTTTTTTGCTTCCAAAAACAATTTACAATTAAGACTTGAAGGCTTCAGAAGACTGTCACTAGAATTTTAGTAACAATTCTGTTAAGCTTCTAGTAACATTTAGTAATATAGTCATTTGTACAAAATTATGCCTATAGATGATCATGGGACTCCTTTCTATCTTCAAGATTTTCCTTTGAATTTTTTTCTTAGTTGTCTTGACATTTTTTTGTTGAAGAGGACTTTTGCTACATTGTTTAAGTGGGTGTGGTAGCAGTTGTTACTGTTGTTGGATGCTTTGTGATTTTTTCTCTTTGTAATTTTGCTGGGCATGTAGGATACTATTCATATTTTAAATGATCTACACTTTGATAGCATTATATACATACAATGTATTTAGTCATTGTCATCCCTCATTAAACTTTCTTCCCCCCCCCCCACCCACTCCCACTGTTTCTCCCCAACATCTCTCTCTTCTACCTTAATGACTCTTTTGGGCATGGACCTACTGGGTTTAATTATGATTGCTTACATGTGCCTGGTGGGAGCTTTATTGACTAAATGCACACTGTTTAATAGACTATTTAGATTTTTGAAAGCATCGCATTCCTCACATGAATGTGTTAGTCCAACCTGTACAGAAGCATACATACAAACAAAAAAGTAAACAAAACAAAACAGTGTATTGAAATGATGAGAAAAAAACAGTATAAGACATGAAAGTGGAAATAGAATCACTAAGGAAAATCAAAAATGGGGTAAAACAGGAAATGAAAATTTTAGGACATCAAACAAAACCCTCACAGGTTAAGTCCCTGCAACAGAGCAGGGCGTAAGACATGGAAGGGAGAATCTCAGACAGTGAAGACAAGTAGAAGAAACAGACACCTCAGTCAAAGAAAATATTAAATAAAACATCCAGGAAAAAAAATCCTTGCGATGTAGGAAACTATAAAAAAAATCTATGAGTAATAGGAACAGAGGAAGGAGGAGCAACCCAAGTCAAAAATCACAGAAAAGGTTTTCAATGAAAGCAAATAAGAAAATTTTCCATAACCCAAAGAAGGAGATTCCTATAAAGGTACAAGAACTTTACAAAACACCAAAAAATACAGGACCAGAATATAAGTCCTCCAAGACACACAATAATCAAAATAGTAAACATACAGAACAAAGGAAGATATTAAAAGAGGTAAGGGGAAAAGACCAAGCAACATGTGAAGGTGGACCATTGGAATAACACTGAATTTCTCAATGGAGACTCAATGACACAGAAGAGACTGGAAATATTTACAGACTGGGAGACCAAAGGTGTGCCAGCGAAGACAACTATATCCAGCTAGACTTTAAATTGTTACATGGTGAAACCAAATTTAAGCACTATATACCTACAAATCAAGGTCTACAGAAGGCGCTGGTAGAAGGTGAATTTAGCTAGGCTTAAACACTCACCAACTGCTGGTGTATAAAGGACAGATCTGGTCCTCTTTATCCCCTTGGCTCTTCAAGCCAAAAGCCATGTTACAATCAAGACCAAGTTTGTGTAAGAAAGCAGCCCTCCAGTCTTTTCTCAATATCATGTATGTTTTAAACACAAGTACAGAACACTAAGCAAAGATTATACTATGACTACATTCCCAAGACACAAGTACACAGCAAACATGGAGATTTATTTCATTTTGTTTGGAATGGGAAACTAAACTTTGTTCCCATTATCTGTGTATTTAAATTTGCTGTGCAGTCTTGCATCCACCTTGACTGGCAGGGGAGGCATATACATTCTATAGGGCTGTGTCTATCCAATTCTGCCTGTAACAAATGCACAAACATCCTTAAATATTAATTATCTGTCTGACAAGCACACAGTAAAATTTTGAAAAACTCAAAGGAAAATGGGCATGAATCCAATTTTTTTTACCTTTTCCTGTGACGTATTAAAATGCAAACAATTTCAGATCTCTTTGCATGCAGTAATTTACATTCTCTGTGATTTTCAGTCCCACTTGTATCCTCTTTCCTGACTTTTGTTACATCTGCTTTGTAATCATATGTCCACCTGTGCTAGTTAGAGTAATGGTGAAGTCTGCACAGCAATTTTCATGTGTTCAGTGAAACCCTGTAGGTCACCTTTTTGCACACATAAGGCACCTTCTTTGGTTCTGACAACTCATGTGAGATCTTTATTCAGGATGAGAATTCCTGGCTTGAGACGTTGATGACCAGGCTGAGTGATCAGTGATCGGTGTCCCTAGGGGTGGTTACTCTATTCACTCTGAAGACACGTCTCCTGTCTATCATAGGCTTAGACACTGATGGTCTAGTCTGAGTGACAGGTGCTTCTGACAGCTCTGTTTCCTGATGGTTATTTCATCCTCTCTGTAGAGGCTTCTGTCTGTCATAGGCCGAGTTTCCAGTAAGGCAGCAACAGATACTCTTTTATTCTTCGTATGTGCTCTCAGCAGTACCTTCACAGTTCTTAGGCTACCATAGGCTCTCCACAGATACAGAATCTGAGGTAGGACTGTGGGATACACTAGCTGTTCCCATTGGTATCATCCTGACATGATTTTTTTTGCTGTCCCTGAAGTTATTCTTTGACAGAATATTTTGTGAGTCTTAGAATTCTCAGAATAGTTACATCCTATAAAACACAGCTTGGGTCTGGGGTCTAGTTTGTCTCCTGAGCCTATTTTTTTTTTAACTCTGTGGCTCAGATGCTCTAGCTAAGCTTGCACGTGATGCCAGATGGTGGGCCAAGGCCTCCAGGCAGGGAGAGCCACCACCTGGAGGGGATTGGATTGGAGGCGGGGCTGAACCTGTGCCCTGGGGGCCTCCTTCATATTTAAGCAGCTCTTAGCCAGCCAAGAACAACGCAGTACTGGCCTGAGACACTACTCTGAAAGCTACAAGTTTCAGGCAAGAAGAAGACACCAGCCAAGGTGCAAGAGGACATGAGATCCAGCTGACTGACGCTATAAACATTACAATGGCTTTGGTATGGCTGACCCTAGACTTCTTTCTCTAGGTTTCTGACGCCTGACTCCTGTTGTTTTCCCAACCATCCTTTGCTTGGAAATGGCTTCAGCTTCTCCAACACCCGATCCCGGTTTGGAGGCTGAATGGGAGGAGTGGAAGAGGAAATACGAGAAAACTTACAGCCAGGTTGGTAACATAATAGCAATCCATGGGGATCTCAGAGAGAATGATATTAGATGCAAGGAGTTGGGGGATCACAAAAGTGGCCACAGAGACCAGCCACCACCAAGGAATTGCCTAAAGACATGTATTGCGAACAACACAAGTCACACGGCACTGCTGATCCTCTGGATGTGGAGGACAGAGTGTCCTGAGGACCCCTCTCCACTGGATCCTCCGTACCTGTCACTGCACGTCTCTTGGTCAGCTTGTGTGGGGGTCAGTGTTGAAGAACTATGTTCCATTGAATTTATTTCCAGGATGAAGAAGGGCACAGAAGGACGGTATGGGAGGAAAATAAGAAGAAGATAGAGGAGCACAATGCAGAGTACGAGGAGGGCAGGACAGGCTTCTGCATGGGCCTGAATGAATTCAGCGACTTGGTGAGTGGCCTGCGAATTGCCAGCTCTGGGTTCTCTCTTCACAATCTTCCGGTGCCTGCTGGTTTTCAATGTTTCATTTGCCTTCCCCAATGAAGACTAACGATGAATTCTGGGAAATGATGACTTGCTCTTCAGACTCCGTACTGGAAGACCAGGAGATAGTCAACATGCATCTCTTCAGTGACATCGCAGAATTTGAGGATTTGACAAAGGACAAGGATGTGACGCCTGAGAAGGATCAGGTATGACACTGTCACACCCCCACGCTCAACTACCCACAGTGAAGTCATGAAGGAACCAAAGTCTTCACTTATGTCAGCTGCGGATAGATACGCAGTTCCCTGTTTGACAAAGTGGTCACGCACCTCTGAGTAGCAGTTAGAGTTAATATTTGGCTACGGATGACAACCTTTTCTTCTAGCTCATGGTAGCTGTTCTGCTAGTTTGGTTTGAGCATGGTTGGTGAACTTGAGGCGTAGAAGTTCCAGGGTTGACACTGTGGTAAAACCACTGTGCTGCATTCTTTCTAACTAATGCAACATGTGTTTTTTTCTTCCAGCCGGAGTAACAGTTGGGACTGGGACAGCAACAGAAAAGACAGCCAAGGAGTGAAGAAATTACTGTGGCATTGTCTCAGGGGCATTCTGCCCCAAGATGTGAGCTGCATGATGGTGACAAGGCTAGAGTTGAGGAAAGAAGAAATAGCAGGTGGCCTCCCTATTATAATGGCCGGCCTGTGCTGCGAGGGATTCAACACTCAAGGCCTTTAAGGTCCACACTGCCATGGGAACTCTGTGTGTCATGTTCACCTTACCGATATTTTTATTACAAGCTCTGACGTCCTTTATGCTATCGATTCTCACAAGGATCTTTAAATGTTGCTTTAATAAAAAGAATATGGACTGTAAGGTCTTAAAAATGAAGCCTGGCTTCAGATGTAGTATTCTGCTTTCTTTCTGGTTTTGTTTCACTAAGTTTTTTTTTAATGTGGTTAAACAAACAGTGCAGCTTCATGGCACACCTGGCTGTGGAAAATGGTGTTCTGGGAGGTAGTGTTTGTGTGGCTCTTTTCAGTACAGGGTCAATATTCCACCCTTGGTTGAACTTCGTTTCCAGGGTTTTAGATGCTCTCTTTTAGCAAATGACCTGAAAGTCTACTTGAAAAGCCCTACAACTCAATGATGATTTTTTAGCTCACATGAATTTGACAAGTGAAGACTGTTTGTCCTTCAGTGCAGAGAGAAGGCACCCTCTTCCACTCCACTCCACTTGCCCCTGTGCCGTGAATCTCTCTCCTCGTTAGGATCTTTTCATTAAAAGACCAGAACTGTGTTCTTGTTGCACCCGTGGTCTTGCAGAAGACGTCTAGAGAACAATGTCAGTGGCCCCAGAAGTGTAGGTCATGCTCAAGTGACCCCTTTCGTAAGCCAACACTGCCCAGTCATGGCAGAGGTTCACCGCTATGTCAGGATGCAAGATGTGTCCTTTGTGTTTTCGTATAAATTTTAGAGCCATTTTGTTAGCTGGGTAGCTCTTGATAGTCCGCTACTAATTTTTACACTGTCGCACCAACCCACGAGCATGGGTCACCTCTCTATCTTCAAGCTTCTTCAACCATTATTTCTCTGCTGTCTTAATATTTTCATTGCCAAGGTCCTTTACCACCTCTGTTAGGTGTACTCCTAGATTTTTTTTTTAATTTTGTGGATTGAAATTTTTCCTGACTTCTTTTTCTTTAAGTTTATATTTGACATACAGAAAGCTGTTCACATTTATTTATTTATTTATTTATTTTGTTTTGTTTTTTCTAGACAGGGTTTCTCTGTATTGTTTTGGAGGCTGTCCTGGAACTCGCTCTGTAGACCAGGCTGGCCTCGAACTCACAGAGATCTGCCTGCCTCTGCCTCCCGAGTGCTGGGATTAAAGGTATGTGCTACCAACGCCCGGCTCATTTTTATTTTTTTTTAATTCTTTGACAGTTCTATACATGCATAACCAATTTAGTCATTTCTATCCCCACTGTACTTTCTTACCACCTTCCTGACATTTAAACTGATTTTTCTCCAACAAATATCCTTTCTGTCTTAATGGTTTTTTTTTTTCAGTGAGTGGCTCACTCTGTTTACTTTGGATTGCCTGGACGTGACTGGGTGGGAAGTTCATTGACTAAGACGCACAGAGCTTAGTGGCCTGTTTGGGTTTTGAAAGCAGCACATTCTTCCCTTGGATGTGTTCCTCTAACCCACATAGCAAGTGAACCTTAAAGCTCATAGTTTTGGGTGGGGTCAGAACAAAACAGAGGCTTTCAATGGGTCCAGGCTTCTGTGTAGAATGTTCTGTCACTTGATTCATGCAATCCAGCACACTTGGTTGGACTTCGGGTCTCGGTGGCACGTAAGAATGCTGTTTGGAGTCTGCGGCAGACTCCATTAGTGTCTTTCAGGATATAGGCCCTTGAGAATTTGGAGCAAGGTCCTGTGATCATCTCCAGACAACTTCTCTACTCTGAAAAACAACTATGTGTTTGTTATCGGGGCCTTCATGGTAACTGAATATTTGGCAATGGGGCATCAAGTTTTCTTGTGATGTGACCAGCACTTTATACTCACTAAGTCATGAAATTAGACGCGCACAGATGTCATCTTTCATCAAGGAGCTGTGATATACGTGGTTGAGAAGGTCCTGAGGGGACAAGCAACTTTCATGAAGAAATTGTTCAAATGCCTATGGTTCCTAGATCTGTAACAATGCCTTTCTGTCCCAAATACGTACCTATGGCCTTATAAGTATGCTCTAGGAGTGGCTGAGAAAGAAGTCAGGATGTGACACTGATGGTTCTTCTCACTAAGCAGGAGCCATCCAGAAGGGTACATCTGTATCATTAGAGTGCCTTGTTGGGACAACCATGAAAACACTGGCAAAGGGACATTTTTCACAATGGGCAGAACTCTGGGCAAGGCAGGTGGTCGTATATTTTGCTTGGAAGAAGTGACCAGATGTTCAACTCTGTTCTAACTTGCGGGCCATAGCCAACGGCTTAACTACATGTCAGAGACTTACTTAGGAAGAATGGTTGGAAAATTCGTGAGAAGGGCATTCCGAGAATATGTATTGTTACAGGGGTAGTCAAGGCCCATGGAGGGAAAATGATTTTCTTCAGATCCAGACAGTAGGACCTCTGGTGTGGTTGGACCCCGATGCTCAATTTGGGTTAGGTCAGATACCTGTCTAAGAGACCATCCCTAAGGGAGGCAGGACTACCCCCTCTGGAAGGCAGATCCTTAGTAAGCCTTGCTAAAGAGACAGGAGGAATAATTATCCCTTTAATGAGATAAGCACATTCCTTTCCAGAACCCCCCTCCCCGCCCCGCCCCCATCACAGTAGCTCAAAGAGCTGTGGCTCACAAGTGTCTTTGCTTTTCTGATTTTCGCTCAGAGAAGAATGACGTGTTCTTTCCTTCTTCCTACCTGTGTTTCATGCTTTTGCCAATACTTGGGTTTTTCCATGTCAAATAAGTGTAGATTCTTGAAATCCACTAGTCATATCAAATTCCCCCACCATTCTGAAGCAGCTGGCTTACTGCAAAGATAGAATGACCCTTTAGAGACACAGCCACGGCACCGATTAGGTAATAAAGGTATAGTGAGCTAGAGATAGGTTCTTTAGAAGGTTTCTCCTGTAGCCAGGAACTAAGGGATAGCGGTGGGAGTGGTAGCACTCAATATCACCTCTAGTGACCCACTAAGAAAAAAAGGTTTTCTTCCCCAAACTTTATTGTGGTGATATTTTTCTTTGTGGTGATATTTTATTTGTGATTTAAATACTTTCCTGAGGATTCAGAAAGCAAAGTAAGCCTCAAGCTATAGAGATCAGGCAGTAGGTGGTACACACCTCTAATCCCAGGACCGGGGATTAAGAGGTAGACAGATTTCTGTTACTTCAAGACCACTCTGAGCTACAAGACATACACCCAGTCCTAAAGAGAAACAGCTCACACAAAGATCATCTCAGCACTGGGGATCACATGCCTTTAATCCCAGGACTCATGAGAAAAGTTTAAGACAGGAACAGGGTCTCAAAGCTGGCATTGGTTCTCCAGTTACATTGAGTATAGGAAGACATTGAAGTCTCTAGCCATGATGAGGAGAGCATAGTAGTTTGAGAGCTCATGGAGATAGGATCAGCCTGAGGTAGAGTTAAGAGCTAGTGGCTTAGCTGCTTTGCTTTACTGATCTTCAGATTGAAGCTTGAACCCCAATATCAGTCTCTGGGTCTTTTATTTATGTCTTACATTTTATTAATAGGTGCTCTAGAAATTTCATTTCCAGAGATGGGAGCGCTTCTGTCTGGAGGCACAACAAAAATTCTAAGCTAAGACTTCCTCCTGGCCACTTTGGGCTACTGATATTTTCAAGCCAAGTGACTAGGAGAGAAAGGACAGTATTAGGAAGAGTGATATGGACTAAAATATGCAAACCTATTTTCTACGGCAGAGGCAAGGAAGAATTTGGAGTGCACAAGACCTTTTAGGGTACGTCACAGTGTGGCCGTGTCATATGATTAAGGTCCCTAGGAAACCACAAAAACCCAGTCAAAGCAGGATGATAAACTGCTCAGAACCTTCAAGAATGGAAGTGTAGTTATTCTATGAAGTCGCATAGGAAGTGAGTGATTCCTGATGTGACTAAAGATGTAATAAAAAAACACAGACTTGTGGGGAAAGAGTATTTCATCTCACTGTATCAGGAGTTCCCCTCGGCCTCTGAGGCTATTGTGTCAAGGGGAGAGGAGGAGCCAGGGACACTGGGAACCCCAGATAGTGGTAGCCAGGAGAGAGGTGCTGAGGCCTGCAGGAGTTGCTCAGGCTCTGTCACTTTGTGAGCCGGGGGGAGGGGGGGTAAAAAAGCAGACTATGACAGTTCCTTGTAGCTATTTAAAGCAAGTGATTAAAGTCTATTCACAGATGTATAAGACATAATGTCGAGTCACGCTTAATGAATGCCTGAAAGGTTCTAGTTTGGAGTTCTATATCCATGAAATTGAGATTTGTGTAGTCTCCAGATGATTTGGAGAGTGCATACATTCATGAATGACTGGAACTTAGTGCATATTCCAATTACTCATAGGCTGAGGAGACAGAAATGGGAGAATGTTTCAAAGAGTCATCATTTTATAGGACAGAATCCTACATCTCTGTTTTCCAAGGCTATTTGATGGTGCAGCTTCTGTTTGTTGGCACAGTCAATGAGAACTTGGCCACACCAGTTTTATCTCAGGGTAGTCTCACAGCTTTTGTTAAATATAGTCTTGGATGGACATTTGTGATACTCTCTATGATGATGGCTAATCTTTTTGTCAAAGTCACAACTTGGAAAAGGAATCCTCAGCTGAAGACTTACCTCCATCAGACAGGCCTGTGTGTATCTTTGAGAAATACTTTTGATTGCTAACTGATGTTGGAGGTCTCAGTCTACTGAGGAGGATACCATCCCTGAGCAGGTGTGGCTGGGCTATATAAGAAAAGTAGCAGAATGTGAGCCTGGGATTAAGCCAGTGAGCCCCACTCC